GGTTTTCTCTATGGAATGCAGGCAGATCATGGCTGGTAGAAGGAGCGGTAGGATTCAAACCTGTATAAATCAGTAAACTGGGCTAACATTCACATGTGATGCTGAGCCTCTGTAATTGAAAGAACTGAAATCCAATGAATGAAAGGGGCAGGTCAGGGACAGTCAGGCTTGGGAAGAAAGAGATAGATTATGCAGGAGGTCCTCAAGCCAGGAAACACGAGAGGCTCTGACTTGCTGCAGCTTCTAATGTACACAGTGAAATGCTCACACTGTACTGCAAAGTCAATGTAAGCAAATCTAGTACAGGAGAGGAGACTGTGCCTGAATAAAAAGTAATTCACTATCTTGTCTTGAATTGTATTGTAATGCCTTCCTTATATTGTGAAGCGCTGCGCAAACTGTTGGCGCTATACAAATCCTGTATAATAATAATGCGGGATTTCAGCTTCAATCCTGCCTAAAGTTTTGCATTAACTTCTGTGACCCAAACAAGAATTCAGGTCAGGGTGCCACCTTTACTGGCTGCATATTTATGCAGTAAAGCAAGAATATAAATGACAGCTCTGGATTCTGCAGAAAAGGCAGCTCCATATTTCTATCCTGAAAGGTTTCTGCACTCCTTATGCATACAATATACCGGTGAGAACTGAGAATCTCCAACTAAAAAAAAGAGAATTGGGTTATGAATGAGCACATCAAGCAGGCAAAGTCCATGGAGGAGATTGCAGACAATTCCCCTGACACAGCTTAAAGAGTATGCATAGCCAAAACGTTTTTTGAACGTTATGATTAGAGCGGGAAATTGTTAAAATCCCGGTCAGATCTTTATTACTATCCGTGTCTCAGCTGGGCAGATTCACCCTTTTGTCTTGCCCTTCCTGCCACATTCACAGAGACAAATATTCAATGGGGACACCCATCCCAGTGCCAACTGTCTGAGAGGGAAGGTCTCCTGGAGATTTCCTCTCATTTCCTGTTCAGTCTCCCGGAAAAAAAAAAAAAAAGGAAAATGTTCACTTGTTTCAAAGCCTATCTCCGGGGGAAACAGAAAACTCCCCTTGTGGTGGGGCTGCCCCCGCCCAGCAGTTTTACTTACCTAATCCCCACTCTACTAGCAGTCGGCATTCATCTCCCCTCCACTGGCTTGTGCCCATCGGCATAACGGTGTATGATGAAGGGCAATGGACCCCGCATTAGACGCGAGGATGTCAGTGGGCCTTCCTCAGCGTGGGGAAGGAGGTGGACTAATCATGGAGACTACAGCAGCGGGGATCAGGTAAGTAAAAGTCCTTTATCTGGGTTCTCTAGACATAAACCAGCATTTAACCCGTGCAGTGGCAGCCCCAAGGCAAGGGGAGTTTTTTTTTTTTTTTGGTTTTCCCAGAGTCCAGCTTTAACCCTTCCCTACTTCAAATCTAAAAAGAAAAAAATGTGGGCTTTCCCCTCCAAGTGTGTCAGTGAGCACCCACACGAAAGCAGAAGCATTGATGGCAATGATATAATTCTGGCCTAGCATTCCGGAACACCCTTCTTTCTAGTCACATAACGAGCACACATTCAGAAAGCAGTCCAGACTTGACATATTAGAATGAGCACAGCACACTCCCTTGTAACACCAGTCTATCCCCAGCAGGATGGTATCAACTTTCCATACAAAAAAAAATAAAAAATAAAAAATCTATTGTGCAACAATCTGATCCGGCATAACCACCTTCATCTGTAAACCCAAGCATGGCCCATTGGCAGGCGTCCCTTGGGTCAGCCCAGTATGAGATCACAGAGGTGCCCTATCCTGATCAGCGGGCACACACTGTCCTGCCATGCCCACATGAGCCCCTTCTCGGAGGTGTGTGCACAGTAGGCCCTCACCGATCTCTGCAGTTCTCCCAGCCACAGCGAGGCTCTCTCCTTCCCGCTGGGATCCGGGTCATGGTAGAGGGCCTGCACGGCCTGGTAGACGGTCTGCAGGCCGGGCTTCCCCTCCATGTCTGTCTGCTTCAGCGTTCCGTGCTCTCTTACAGCCGCCTCTCCCCAGGCTTCATCCTCTACCTCGGCCGCAATGGGATTGTGCACCCGCAAACTCGGCCCGGACGGGAAGCACAAGTCTGCAGTACAGCGTTCCGGATCCTCTCCCCGGGTTGTGCAGGGAGGAGGGGTGGGCGCCGGAAGACTCAGTGTCCGGCTTCTGTGTGGCTCCTCTCCCGTCACACAAACCTCCCCACCTCTCCAGTAGCAGCCCAGGAAAGAGGTTGCTTCCCGGGCAGGAAGTACGTCAGCCAGTGCTTCCTGCCGGTCCCTGAGTGACGAGAGGGCGGCAGAGACGTTCCTCCCGTGTGTGCTCTGTCATAGATAGCGGAAGCTGCACAACTGAGAACTAGTCTCTGTACTGTTTATGTTATACAGGCATTCCTGTTGTCACTGACATATGCAGGAGCACTGCATGCCATACATAGAGGCTTCCTATGTGAACCCAGTCAGTAAAATGTAATTTCCATGCCTCCTATGTGAGCCCAATAAGTAAAATGTCATATGAACAATCCTGCCACTATGGGGTCCAAAGTAAAGCCACCCAGGAAAAGGAGATGATATATTGTACAGTGTGTGAAATACCTGTCCCCTGCCACCCACTGTGGTTTCTCCTGCTGCCACATAAGTCTCATAGTGACTCAGGTACTTGTGGAAGAAACCATAGCATGGAGTGGGGGAGCAGGTATTTGATGGACCAGACAGTCTCATACCGGCAGCAGCCAGAGAACTGCTACAAGACACGGGCCACCGGAAAGGTAAGTATACAAAACAAATTTGGGGGGGGGGGGGGGGTTTGTCAAAACGGGAGCAGACAGAATCTGGAGCAGTTGCCCATAGTAACCAATCAGCTTCTCTATAAGTTTTGTTGACTCCCCCTCTATGTCTCTTCTGTGATAAGTCAAACTTACCTGTCTGTTCATAATCTTCAGGATGTACACTGTGAAGCACATTGGCGGCTCAGTGTACATTCTCTGTACACCTCTGTGCTGGAATGAATGAACTCACATGCACATACGCAGGAGTTAATTCATTCCATGCTGGCCAATCAAGATGGCCAAAGACCTGTCACCCAGAAGAAGCATGGGAGGAAACTGGTGGCGCTCATGGGGGGAGGGGAGTTAAGTTTCACTATAAATACAATGTGCAGATTTGATGGACCACATGTTCTTTATTTGCAGTTACTCTTCTATACTGTTCTACATTATGTCATCCATATTCACAGGCTGCCCGTACTTTACTGTGGACCCAATACAGACAGGGTTCCAATAACAGGTTAATGTCATGTTAACCATCACTTGTAATATTTTTGAAATATGCAGCTTTCACTAAAAATTCCCATTGTTGGTGCCATTAGGATCTGCTTCAGGCACTTCCTGACGAAAAAATACAGGCGCCTCCAATTACAGGGTGCCCAGCAATTAAATGCAACAAACACGACACAGGCAGCTCCCACAGGTCAGATTGACCACCAGTCAAAGAAACAAGAAAAAAACAAAAAAGGATAAAGCGCACTCCTGTGGGCACACTACAATTCGGTGACTATTGTGTAAGGGTGTGCAGCAGCTCCTCGATACAGGGAGAGGACCCTGTCTATTCAAAATTGCAGATATGGACAAAGCAGGACAGGAGCGCGACTACCAAAAGGACGTGGATAGGTATATGAAGTACAGATTGTAAATGAATCTTTGTATGTGAAAATTACGTGACACTGTTAATAGTGGACAAAGGGACTTACAGTTAGAGGCTCCCCCGATATAGATCACGGGGGAGCCTCTAACTGTAAGTCCCTTTGTCCACTAGTAACAGTGTCACGGAATTTTTCACATACAATGATCCATTTACAATCTGTACTGCATATACCTATCCACGTCCTTTTGGTAGTCAAAGAAACAAGGAACAAAAGAAAGCGCCTCCACAGTGTAAAAGAGTGATTTCATAATAAAAACACGCAGCTCTGAGGCTGTACTTACAATTCAGTTGAATAAAAACCAGTAGAGTAAGATGAGAAGTCCCAAGTACAGCCTCAGAGCTGCGTGTTTTTAAATCACTCTTTAAGGCCCCATTCACACTGAGCGACATGAAAATCGCGCGATATTGAGCGACTTGTCGCGCGACATGGGGCGATTTTTTCCTTATGGGCTGTATGCAATCAGGAGCAATATCACTCGAAAAAAGGGTCATGTAGGAGCGACGAGCTACAAGCGATATTGAGCGACGAGATGTGAACAGCTCCATTGAAATGTATTGGAGAAGCTACATAGAGCGATATCGCGTGGAAATATGAGTGATATCGCTGCAAAAATCGCTCGATAAATCGCTCAGTGTGAATGGCGCCTTAGGCCCCATTCACACTGCGCGATTCGCAAATCGCGCGTTTGTCGCGCGATTTGCATTTTGCGCGATATCGCACAAATGCTTGCATTGAATCGCGGCAAAATCCGCTCCAAAAAGGGTCCTGCTGTAGCGACGCACGACCCGCGACAGCAGGACCCTTTGACCCATTGCCAAGCATTGGAGAGCGATATCGCGTGGTAAATAGCCGCGATATCGCGGGAATTACCGCGCGATAAATCGCTCAGTGTGAACGGGGCCTTACACTATAGAGGCACTTTCTTTTGTTTCTTAGGCACTTCCTGTTAAAGGGTGACAACACTGTTCCTGTCTTCCAATTGTACTCCTGCTTTGTCACCATGTCATGTTGCCCTCTGATCAAACACATATAGCACAGGCATGGTCTGCTGTTGTCACCATCAAGAAACCTGTCCTGAGAAATGCCATGCAGCCAATGCTGGAGTGCTTGCATGTAGGCAGGAAGTGTCTGTAAAATAGGCTGAAGGAGTTCAGCAGCACTGAGATGGAATAAGGGCTAAATACAGCAGAAAAAGAAGAAGAAAGTAGTTTATTATACAAAATGTTTTAGAAAACAAACTCCCCCAACCTCTAGTAATAAACACGCTGTGATAACCACCAGTGGGCTCATGTAGACGGTTGTTGTTTCCCTGTGGTGGACATCAGCGGCAGGTACACAGCTTGCCATTTACTTCAATGGTGTAGCACGGATGACTGTTCTGGGGCTACCCGTGACCTGCTTTGTGTTGTGTGTCTTTGGATGCAGTATGTCTTATAAAGAGGGGTTAACATAGGGTTGCCACCTTTTCTTCAAGTGAAACCCGAACACTCTAGCGACATGCAGACATTTTTCTGGGAGAATAAGTCTCGGCTTATTCATATGTAAATATCACAGCTGAGACTATTTTCAGTGGGAGGCCAGTAGCCCCTATATTAATTTTGGTTGCCCCTGTCTGCCTGACATCTTGTGTCCGGGTTTCTGCTGCCATGAAATCCAGACACAGCATCCAAAACCCGGACTGTCCGGGTGAATCCTGGACAGGTGGCAACCCTAGGTTAACATTGCACACAAATTGAGTCAAACGTAGTCATGGCGGCATTTCATGCAAAAAGAGCCGTGTCTGAACACAATGCTCGACTACATGAGCCCTCCAGGCAAACGCTTCAAACACAGATACAATTATTATTATACAGGATTTATATAGCGCCAACAGTTTGCGCAGCGCTTTACAAAATTGAAATGCTTATAAAATAAAATGTTTATTCCTGTGTACCCATTCCAGAGATTTACACAGCTCTGCCACACAGCACAGTCCTGCCTGACAGGGGAGGGGACCTGAGCTTTCTCTGCTGTAGTTTCATTTTCGCTTCTAGGTCTCCTCCTCACTCCCCACACTGTGACTGGACGGCGGAAGGAGAAGCAGCGCGACATTTAGCTCATTTCTCTGTCACTTGCTCTCTCCTGCTATCAGTATGCTCCTTACAGTGCAATACAATGAATTATGCCACTTCTCCCTCTCCCAGTCTGAGATCTGCTGGACGGGGGCTGCAAAAGGCTGATACAAAGTCAAATCTAGGTACATGCATTGCGTTCTTTTATAAAATACTATTAAGGATATATTAATGATTATTAATGATTAAATCTTAGGAGCCAGTCATCCTTATCCTTGCTTCATTGCTTACTGGAAAGAAGTGACATAAAAGAGCTAGACCTGCTGCAAGGTTTATCCTATTGGTGTGTCTGGCCAATTGTGATGTGAAAGAGTCAGGATAGGTGGTCTGACTACTAGACAGGCAGATTCTACATCCCAGTGGATCTCTATTGTCTCCTAGGGCTGTGATGTCAAACTGCAGGACTGTGAATTGAAGCACCACACTCCCTAATAGTCCAGACACATCTTTATTCTATATACGGATGAAGGGACAGTATAGAAATAGCCATCGCACTTTGGGGACTCATACAAATACCCCTTCACCAGGGCTCACTAACAGAGAACATGTATCAGGACTGTGATGGGGGGGGGGGGGGGGTTTGTCAAAACGGGAGCAGACAGAATCTGGAGCAGTTGCCCATAGTAACCAATCAGCTTCTCTATAAGTTTTGTTGACTCCCCCTCTATGTCTCTTCTGTGATAAGTCAAACTTACCTGTCTGTTCATAATCTTCAGGATGTACACTGTGAAGCACATTGGCGGCTCAGTGTACATTCTCTGTACACCTCTGTGCTGGAATGAATGAACTCACATGCACATACGCAGGAGTTAATTCATTCCATGCTGGCCAATCAAGATGGCCAAAGACCTGTCACCCAGAAGAAGCATGGGAGGAAACTGGTGGCGCTCATGGGGGGAGGGGAGTTAAGTTTCACTATAAATACAATGTGCAGATTTGATGGACCACATGTTCTTTATTTGCAGTTACTCTTCTATACTGTTCTACATTATGTCATCCATATTCACAGGCTGCCCGTACTTTACTGTGGACCCAATACAGACAGGGTTCCAATAACAGGTTAATGTCATGTTAACCATCACTTGTAATATTTTTGAAATATGCAGCTTTCACTAAAAATTCCCATTGTTGGTGCCATTAGGATCTGCTTCAGGCACTTCCTGACGAAAAAATACAGGCGCCTCCAATTACAGGGTGCCCAGCAATTAAATGCAACAAACACGACACAGGCAGCTCCCACAGGTCAGATTGACCACCAGTCAAAGAAACAAGAAAAAAACAAAAAAGGATAAAGCGCACTCCTGTGGGCACACTACAATTCGGTGACTATTGTGTAAGGGTGTGCAGCAGCTCCTCGATACAGGGAGAGGACCCTGTCTATTCAAAATTGCAGATATGGACAAAGCAGGACAGGAGCGCGACTACCAAAAGGACGTGGATAGGTATATGAAGTACAGATTGTAAATGAATC